AAAACCTCCCAGAACATTGATTTAAAAAAAAAAAGAAGGAAAATATGACAAAATATAGATGCAAAGGGGACAAATCTAGGATACCCAACAGTTAAATTATAGGAGTTTTATAATGAAGGGAAATAACTTATCAAATAGCTGTATTTCTCAAGGCTTAAGAAACATGGGCCTTCAGAATTAGAAAGGGCCCAAATGACTGTCTTGCACTATTTGGGAAAATTTTTTTGAGAATGAGACTAGGTGTCATTCTCGTAAAACTTTAGAATCCCAAGCATAAGCAGAAAATCTTAAGTACTTCAGGGTGTTGGCAGGGAGGGGTCAAATAGGTAGCTACAGAGTTTTAATGATTAGACTGGCATCCGACTTCTCCTCTGTATCTCTAGATACTGAAAGAAAATAGTGCAATATCCAAATTGAGGGGAAATTGTTTTCAATGTAAATTAATATGACCAGCCAAATACTATCTTCCATTTATGAAGACAGAAGAAAGATGTCTTTAGTCATGCGGGAACTCAAAGTTTCTACTGTATCCTGTTTTAGAGTCAACCAAACTGAAGACAACTGGAATCAATCCAGAGGATCACTGAAGGGAAATTTTAGAATGACACCAATGTGTGGGCCGGCCCAGTGGCGCACTGGAGAGTGCTCCGCTTGAGAGCGCGGCGGCGCTCCCGTCGAGGGTTCGGATCCCATGTGGAGAATGGTTCCCGCTCACTGCCTGAGCAAGGTGCGGGCGCAACACTGAGGGTTGCGATCCTGTTGCCGGTCCCCGGTACAGGCGCGACACCGAGGGTTGCGATCCCGTTACCAGTCAGTAAAAAAGACAAAAAGGAAAAAAAAAAAAGAATGACACCAATGTGGCATGATTTTAATCAACTTACAGAGTTTAAGAAAAGAGAATCTATTTTATCTTGCTGCTGGGAATATTATAAATGGCCTAGGTATTATGACACTGAAACAAGAGAAAGAAATGTTATTCTTGCACAGTACATGGATCTGCCATGAATAATATTTATGTATTCATAATAATAAAAGTACTATTTGTTGATTTTCAACTTTTAGAGTAAATTAAGAGACAAAGTATGAAAGACTTCATTAGGGTTGTAGACCTGAATGTAAAGGTTAAAAAGGCCTTCATTATGTAAGAGTCAAGATATAGCTAACAAAGAAGAAGGGAGGGGAAGAGAAAAGTTGGAAGTAAAGTTAGCAGTAGTACAGTTACTTATTTTATGATAGTCAGTCTGAACTGACCCAAGTCCATTAAGACATAAAGTTATAAGTATATTATTTAAAATAAAAAGTGTAACCAAGAGAATAATAAAGATAGTGAGGAAAGGTTAAAGAGGTGGAGGGTAGTGTAAGAGAGCTAAAACCTCATCTTTCATAACTGGAACGTAGATGTTGTCTGGCTGGAGTGATTAATTTAGAAATAGAGAGAAAGAGTATAAGGCACTTTGATTTATGGAGGTAAATACTAGAAAAGTGAAAACAAAAACTCTTGAGAAGAGCTTGCCTCTTGGGAGAGGAACCGTGACTGTTTTCTCTTGTTCCTTTCTATTTCTCTGATCATTTCTTAACAGGCTCCTCCTCCTCCTCCTAGTACTTAAATGTTGGTGTTTTCCAGGAATTGGCCCATGGCCTCTGTCTCCCACAACACATGCCCACCATGAGCTAGTTCATTCACATAAATGGCTTCAACAACATAAGTGGGCTTTCAAGTCCCAAATCTCTTCTCTGTAACCTGATTGTTTTCCTGAATGCAGGATCTGTATTTTCAGACATCTCCTTCTGCATGCATGCTCAGTAGCACTTAAAATTTAACATGTCCAAAACGGAAATAGTTATCTTATTCATGAAATCTGTTTCTGTATTCCTTAGTTTTTAACAGCTTCGTCAAAATATAATTTACATACCATAAAATTCACGTGTTTTAAGTGTGTAATTCAGTGACTCCTAATAAATTTACAGAGTTGTGCAACCATTTTCATAATCCAATTTTAGGACATACCCATCATTCTAGAAAGACCCTTCATGCTCATTTGCAGTCATTTTCCTTTTCCAGCCCTTCTTGCAGGCAACCATTAATCTACTATCTCTACAGATTTGCCTTTTCTAGACACTTCATATAAATGGAGTCATATAATATGTGATCTTTTGTGACTGGGCTTCTTTCACGTAACATATTTTTGAAGTTCATCCATATTGTAACATGTACTAATACTTCATTCCATTTTATTGCTGAATAGTATTCCTTTGTGTGGATATACCACATTTTGTTTATCCTTTCATTAGTTAATGGACATTTTGGTTGTTTCCAGTTTGGGGTCATTATAAATAATGCTGTTTTAAACATTAGCATACAAGTCTTTGCATGGACCTCTTTCCATTTCTCTGGATACATTTGTATGGTAAATTTATTTCTAACTTTTAAGTAACTATGAAACTATTTTCCAAATAGTTTCTACAATTTTATAGTCCCACCAGCAATATATGGGGGTTCCAGTTTCACCATATCCTTGGCAGCACTTTTGATTATCTGTCATTTTTATTATAGCCATTCCAGTAGGTGTTAAATGGTATCTCATTGTGGTTTTAATATGCATTTCCCTAATAGCTATTTCTTTAATTGTTTAATTTCAGCAATACTTGAAAGTTATTCTTGATTTTTTTTTTCTTTCCTACCCTGCTCACCTATTCTATAAGTGCACCTCTGTAGTATATTTTTACCCAAACTCTTCTTTATCCTAATTCTTATTGCTTTATTTTGTCTCTATTCTTGATTATTAAAATAGCCTCTAAACTGCTTTTTCTAATACCATGTCCTTTGCAGGTTTTAATCTATTTTCCACACTACCATTAAAATGAATTTTCCAGTGGCTGGCCTGTGGCTCACTTGGGAGAGTGTGGTGCTGACAACACCAAGGCCACAGGTTTGGATCCCTATATAGGGATGGCCGGTTAGCTCACTTGGGAGAGTGTGGTGCTGACAACACAGAGTCAAGGGTTAAGATCCCCTTAATGGTCATTATTAAAAAAAAAAAAAATGAATTTTCCAAAATGCTGATGTGTTCATGTCACTCCTTTGCTAAAAACCCTTCAAAGGCTTCCCGTTGACTTTGAGACAAAATTTACAGTATGGACCCTGCTTGTTTTACACTGTCTATTCTTGCCACTCTTTTCCCCACCATCCCACTCTCCTACAAGGCTGGCTGGTCAGCTCAGATGCTTAGAGCACCGCCGTGTAACATCAAGGTCACTGGTCCAGATCCCCATATTGGCCAACCACCAAATAAAAAACAGAAAACCACCCTCCTACACCCCCCGCCCACACACACCCTGCACACATCCTGACCTGTGATCTACCCGCAATTATCTGAATACTTGGATCTTCTTTCTTCTGTGCCTTTGAACATGCTGTTACCTCTGTCTGGAATGCTCATCTGTCTCTGTTTACAAGCTCTTACTCATTATTCAAGATTTAGTGGAAATAACACTGCCTCTTGGAATCTTTCCCTGATTCTCTTCAATAACAGTTAAACATTTTTTTTGTGTGTGTTGATATAGTGATATACATATGTGTCTGTGAGAATATTACGTTGAATTCATGAAATTGTCATTTTTGTAAGTTAAAATGTGGCTTATATGAGTCAGCCTAAAACGCTTTTGTAATTACTTGTTTATGTGCCTGTAACATAGGCAAGAGACTGTCATTTAAGGGTGGTAGACCATTTAGTACATGTTTGTTGATAGGTGAATGGAGAAATAAATTAAGACTTAAAGACCAAGGTTTTCATTTAGAGTAAAAAGTTAGATTTTCAAGTAAAGTAGAAAATCTACTTTAGAATTACATGGCCCCAAAGCTTTCATATTTGCATCGTGCCAAAAATAATCAATACAAAACTGTCAGAATATATCTCTTAATAAATACATCTTGAATGTTATGAAGTCACAGAGTATCTCCCATATACAAGTTAGTAGTTATTTTCATATTAGTAGATAGCATCATATTTCCATCACTTAAATAAAATAAAGGATACTTATTTTTTATAAAAAGATTTATGGGCGTATGTATATGTGTACATATATAATGATTATTGCTATGTAAAATTTGCCTTTGAATGTGGGAGATAATATGTAATAATGAAAAAAATTGTTTCAGAGTATGTAATTATATGAATTTATTTAAACATTTCCTTAAAAGAACAAAACAAATGTACTAGTTTCTGTGTTTTACATCAAGGTAATAATGAAAAAAATTGTTTCAGAGTATGTAATTATATGAGTTTATTTAAACATTTCCTTAAAAGAACAAAACAAATGTACTAGTTTCTGTGTTTTACATCAAATAGTAATGTCTGAATTGTGCTTTTAGAAAAGATAACCATATAAATGCTTGGCATAGTTTAGATAATTACATGATAAAGAACCCTGTATTTCCTTTACACAAAATTATACTTTAAGTCAATATTTTAAAATTATTTATAATTTTTAAAACTTAGCTTTCTTTAATGCATATATAATAGCTTTGCCATAGTTTTCAGGTAGTTGTATTGTCATTAGTATTAGTCAAGTTCAGTGATTACATTAATTTCCAGTTGAACATGATGTTATAAGTTCTATTATAGCTATTACCTTCTTTCAGTTTCATAAGTTCTTCAAGTCATTATTTATCTAAATTTTATGTAGTTTGTAAGAAGATTCTTTTTTAAAAAAATATTCTGTGGAACAATTGTCCATTAGCTCCACATTAAAATTCTTTTTCTCCATGAACTTAGACAATGCTCTTGAATTATTCAGACATGCAAAGGTAAGTAAGGAGTCTAAAGAATGTGGCTTATTTCATAATTTTAAAACTTGGACAGTGATTTGGAAGTGCAGCTTAGGACAAGTCCTTTTCCAAATAAAATTCTGCTCCATTTGCAGCTCTGAACATGTGGACTAAAGGGGTGGTTCCCTCAGCCTGTGCCTGACCTCTGTGCACACCTTGGTCTGTCTCACCCACATTGCAGTCATATAAATCAGATTTTGACGTGTTATAAAATGCAAGTCACAGCTGCTGTAGTCTGCAGTGTTCAAAAACTTTTGAAACACTGCATGTCCAACTAAATTTATTTTTTGTGTGAATGTAAGTTTTTATTGAGGTAAGCCCTGTTTGTTTGTAAAAAAAAAAAAAAAAAGAAAAGAAAAAAAGAAAAAGAAACTCAGAATGAGTCAATAATTATTTCAAATCAAATAGGTTTAATGTTTGTCCTCTCTCTCTTGCTCTTTTGCTCTCTTGCTCTCTCGCTCTCTCTCTGCTTCTCTGTATAAGAAAGAGTGATTGGCTTTGGGAGAAGACCTTTGTATTACACCTGTGTTAATAGGAAGTTGTAGATTGAGATTTCTGTTACAAAGTCTTTGTGCTTAAATCAGGAGTAAATCACCTTTATAAAACAGAACTGAGACCTTGTAATCATAATGTAAGTGTAAATTCTTCCTCTCTTCAAATATATTTTTTAGTTCCTTTGTTTCTGTTATAGTAGATAACTTCACACATAAGCATGTCTCAGTAGCTACTTTGCTTTGCCAGATGCCAGGCTTTTCTTTAAAAGAAAGGCATGTGTAGATTGGTAAATGTAATGTGCGATCTATTGGTAAACTTAAAAATGTTTTCATAAATGTTTTAAAGGTTCTATAGAAATGCAAACAATTTAAATGCTGTTAAAGATTTTTCTGTAGTGTGTGTTTGGCCATTTTCAATAAATTGAAAAATCAGAAGTTATCGATTCTAATTAAAAGTCAGATTATAAATAGGCTTTATAAAAAAGCAAAAAGTCACCTTTAATACCCAGGTCAATGGTTCAGGTCCTTGTACCGACTAGCTGCCAAAAGAAAAGAAAAAGCAATAAGTCAATTCAGGTCATTCAATTTCATTTACTACCTCGTATCTTTCATAAATGATCTCATGTAGTACACTGTTACTTTAATAATGTTTATTAAAAGTAAAACTTATTAGATTTTTCTATAGAGAGATTTAAGATTAAATTACATTATTTAGGCAATGATTTATATTTAGTGTATTTATACTATTTAAAGTTGATCTTTTAGTTTTATGTGTCCAGATTTTTCATTGATATGTAATAAGTATCTAAAAAATAGATGCTCTAATTTTGTCATTAGTATATAAATGTCTTAATTATTTTCAATGTTTAAGAGTATTGCTATTAGGATATTTGACATTTTATAATGCCCTCAAAAAAGCATTTTTCCTAAATTATTAATTTTAAATTATTTTAGGTGCTGTTTTTCAACCCTAATGTTTTGATCAAGAATGAAGCTATTTAAAAATTAAGATGTCAACAGGTAATTTCTTGTAAGTTTATACTTTTGTCAAGGTATGTTAATAGCAATAGAATAACAATAAAAATGTATGTTAACACAAAACTATATTTTTCCCTATCTAAAATCATTTCAAAAATATGAAATATTTTGGTTTTGAAAGACCTTCCTTTATAACATAAAACTTCTTTATTTTAGGTTTATATGTTTTATTGGTTTTTACAAACTGATAAATTCTAGCTCACTCTGATATCAACTTCTTAAATAATAAGTAAATGAAATTAGAGTCAGAATAAAAATAGATTCAGAGATAGTGATTCAGGTTAGATGAGTTTTCCTTACTGACAAAATACCTGTGTTGAGATATGTCTGGTTATCATCCAGTTAAAAACAAGGATTAATTAATTTCAGCTGTGATAGTTACATTACACTCTCAATGGAAAACCATGTGATGACTCCCATGATTCTGATGTAATGTCATGTTAATTGGGATCTTGTTTGTTACCCAAATTGTTCCTGAAAATTTGTATAATCTTATTAGAAGTTGTTTGACTATAAAGAAGTATGGTATTACATAAAAACAGAAAAAAATCTAAAAGAATTATTTTTGGTTGATTTACTTTCTTTTTTACCACTTAAATTCTTTGTAGTTCTGTTTTCCTCTTTATACTGTTATACTTTCATAGTTATAGTGTGATGCTAGAATAGGTTTTTCTCAATTCTAAAGTTAAAAAGTTTCAAAATTTCAAATGCTAATTGTAGAGATATCTGGCTTATGACAATTATTTTTTTTTTAAATAAAAATTTGTGGCAATTATATCTTGACAGACACTGTTCTCTTATTGGCCTAAAAAGTTTCAAAATTTCAAATGCTAATTGTAGAGATATCTGGCTTATGACAATTATTTTTTTTTTTAAATAAAAATTTGTGGCAATTATATCTTGACAGACACTGTTCTCTTATTGGCAAATAAATGCTAGATTTTTTAAAAAGTTGATAAACTATTTTTTTTAAATGCTAAAGTGGATGCCAACTGGGAGTAAAGCCATTTTCTTCTTCACATTAGGTGATTCTAGGTAAATGCCTAGACAGAAACAATCAGGAACTAACCGCGCAATTTTAAAGCAATATAATTCCCCCCTTTAAGAGTGAAAGATAAAGTATTCAGCAGTTTTCTCTTCTAATCATAAATAGTAGTATAATGACTCTGTGAGTTTTACTATTGTTATTTCTATTTTCTGTACAGTGGCTTTGGTGACCACAAGTGAAAGGAAAGGGATTTTTTTCCTAAGGTGGGGGTGGGAGTGAGGTTGGAAGAAAGGAGAGATACCAAGGGAGAAAGGAAAGGCAAAGATAAAGAAGGAGGTGAGGATAGAGAAAGAGGAGGGAGAGAAAGGAAGCAAAAGAGAAAAGGAGATTTATTTTCTTAATATTCTAAAAATTTTGACTGTATATCAAGCAATGACTTGAGTTTTAATTTAACTTCAGAATTTGTCTTTACCGTTACTAGCTATTACCTAAAATCCCCTTGCAAATCAAAACCTTATAAGGTTATATAATTTGTGGTTTTTGACATTAAGAATGTTATAGATAGGAATATTTAGAGATAATTTTGGAAATCAAAATGTATTTCAATTATCTAAATCTTTTTTCTACCACACTTTCAGATCTTATATATTTGAGTACTAATAGGAAAAATAAGAATCTAAGTACACCCTGGGCCAAGAAAGCTCTAAGGGATATACTGCAGAATCTCTGTACTAAATGAGAAAGGCCCTGTTTATTCTAAGATCTTAATCACTTCCTTTTACTCTAACTAATATAGAGACTCTTTATTTCTGTTATATGGCTTCTAAATACATTGTAGTTAATGGCCATATCCTTAGGACAGATTAATTTTTCCCTCAAAGGGATAGAAGTCCCTGCCCATCAAATAAGAATAAGATTCTTTCATTTTGAGAAAACATTCTTCATTCTAATATTTAGAATTGCAACTTCATTCTAAGATAGTTATTCCTATTCCTTGTTGTGTTAGAAAAACTTTAATTTGTCTTTCTCTTTTTCTTATATGTATGTGTTTTAGCTCACGAAGAGCCCTGTGGTCCCAGCCACAGGTCATTTTGCCTGAATGGGGGGATTTGTTATGTGATACCTACTATTTCCAGCCCATTTTGTAGGTGAGTGAAGTGGATTGGGGGGAGAGGATAATTTTATTTTTTATCATCTACTACTTTGAGAAGTGACAAAAAGTAAACAAAAAGTGTAAGATGAAAAAGTGTGAGGAAGACTTCATATTTATGAAGGGCAAAATTGTGCTTTTGAAACAAAACAAAAACAAAAGAAAGTAGTGAATAAAAATCTCATTCATTAGGGTTTTTGTTTTGTTTTGTTTTGGTTTTTTTTGTCCTTTTTTGAGACCAGCTGCACCGCGCTCAGCCAGTGAGCGCACCGGTCATCCCTATATAGGATCCGAACCCACGGTGGGAGCGCTGCTGCACTCCCAGGGCCCAAGGTGTTTATTTTGAAAATCGGTGGTGGTAGTTTCTAGCCAAGACAGATTTTTTTAAAAAATCCATTTTAGTGAATTCTCTGATTTTAGCAATTTAGGGAAGGCAGTCTATGTTTAATATTACTGGCAAAACAGCTAGAGAATTCACTAAAGTAAAAAGCCCAACATGAGATATTTTGTTTCAAGTTTAGAATACATAAATCCATGATGACTCAGTTGGTACCAAAACTTACACTTGATATATCATAAAGAAAATGAAGAGATATGTTTTTCTAATGGTGGTAGCAAGTAAAAAAAGGATGTCTTGGGCCGGCCCGGTGGCGCACTGGAGAGTGCGCCGCTTGGGAGTGTGGCGGCACTCCCGCCGAGGGTTCGGACCCCATGTGGAGACCAGTTCCCGCTCACTGGCTGAGCACGGTGTGGGCGTGACACCGAGGGTTGCGATCCCGTTGCCGGTCCCCGGTATGGGCGCGACACCGAGGGTTGCGATCCTGTTACCGGTCAGTAAAAAAAGACAAAAAGGAAAGAAAAAAATAAAAAAAGGATTTCTTAGCCGCTATTGTTTTAAAATAATATGATTCACTCTGCTTGTATAGATACAGCTAGTGATCAAAAAAGACTTCAAAACAGTACTTGTATAGCTGGCTTCCTGTGAGTTTGCCTGAATAGAATTTAACGGCATATGATAAACCTCTTTTTGTACGTGAGTTAGCAACTTAGTAAGACCCATGAGGTCCACGGACATTGTGGAGCTAACACCCAGTGACCTCAAGATATTTTGTCACGTGTGTGGGTTACTCTTTTTTGTTCATTAACTGAAGAGAGGTATAGAATCTAGATTTAAGATTTAAAACCTTGGGCCAGCCCGGTGGCGCACTGCTACAGTGTGCCGCTTGGGAGCGCAGTGGCGCTCCCACCGAGGGTTCGGATCCCACATACAGACCGGTTCCCACTCACTGGCTGAGCGAGGTGTGGGAGCAACACCGAGGGTTGCGATCCTGTTGCTGGTCCCAGTCTGGTACGGGCACGACACTGAGGGTTGCGATCCGTTGCCGGACATGAAAAAAGGCAAAAAGGAAAAAAAAAGATTTAAAACCTTGCTAAATAAAAGGATAAAAAAGTAAAATTTGTAGGAAAAGTTAAAGTTACTGGGATTTTGTCTGAAGAAGAGGAGGCAGAGAAGTAACCTCATAATTATCTCAAGAAGTTTTTAGGGGTTTTCATATGGGGAGTAACGCCTAGGTGTTTTTCCTCCCAAGTGAATATATAAAGGGAGAGGGATAGAGGAAAAAACTAACAATTCCTTAACACCCACTATGTGCCTGAACAGTATTCTTTTTTGTTTTTAAATCTATTTACTAAGATATAATTTATATATGATAAACTGCATTCATTTAAAGTACACAAATGATAAATTTTAACAAATGTTATACCCATGAAGCTACCGCCACATCAATATAGAATATTTCCATTGCCCCTCTAAATTTTGTTGCTGACCCTATTCTTTATTTACATTTTGGCATTTCATTCTCACAAAAACCTTAGAGAAAGGAGGCAGGGGAGACCATAGGAAAATGAAAAATAAGGAGAAAACGAGAAATCAAGTGATTTGCCCAAGATCATACAGAGAGGAAGAAGAAAGAAATGGCCTTTAAACACAACTCCCAAGGTTCACTTAACCTTATAATATATTCATTCTGGGTTATTTCTAAGGGGATATAGCACAGGGCATTCATAAAATGAAACTAAAATGCTTATCAGAAGAAAAACATTTAATTATTAAAAGATACTAACACTTTGTGTTTTGATCTTGGTGGGTAGCTACGTGGGTGAAAAGACTATGCTTTCTCCATTGAATTGCCTTTATGCCTTTGTCAAAAATCAATTAACCATGTATGTGTAGGTCTATTCCTGGACTATTAGATTCCACTGATCTATGTTTCTGTCTTCACCACTAAACAGTCTTGATAAATATAGCTTTATAGTGAATGAAAGCAGGTAGCATGAGTCCTTAACTTTGTTCTTGAGCATTGATCTTTAGCCCCCTTTTCTAATAGACTGTATTTAATGTTAAAAATTTCAAATACACTTTAGCTTCAGATAGTTCAGTTCTAAGTTTTAAGTTTTTTCCATAATCATTTTTTCTTTCACCTATGAGGGTTTTTAGGTTATCTTTTTGTATTTATATCTAACTTAATTACATTGTGGTCAGAATACTTGGTCCATCAAGCTGTACATTTATGATCTGTCTGTATACTGAGTGTCTATTATACTGCACTGAGTAAGTTGAAAGAAAATTAAGAGTACTGGAATTTAGAGAGTCATAGAAATGAGAAGAAACCTAGGTTGTCTCCCTGTTTTTGTAACTTGAATATATGTGTTTTTAGTACATTTTCAAAAAGTTACCAATGAAAGAGAAAGGGCAACTTTGCTGGCACCCACACTAGGTTTAAGAATGTGTCTAGTTTCTTCCTAATTTCAAACTTTAAGAATGGTATTTAAAGAGTAGTTGAAACTTTGCCTCAGGGTATATGATGGATAGGAATGAAGCAAGGTCACGTTGCACAACAGCAGGAGATTCTGTGGGATTGATGCCCTCTGTGTGATGTGAATGTTGTATCCTGGTTGTTCAAAACCTGGAAGGAAGCAAAGTCAGGGTGTGGGTAGAAGGAGACAAAGGGGAAACAGAAGAGGAAGGAATGTAGTAACTGAAGATTCAGTGAAGTCGAATGGCAGATATATTTTAAATATTATTTTATAAAAGTAATTCTTTTCCAATGATCATAGGACCACATTTTAAATGTAGCTCTGTAAGCTATAATAGCAATATCTAAGGGTGATAAACTGATTTTCAGTCTCAACTCATATTATTTCCTGCATTCCCTATTTCTGTTCATGACATCCCAACTGTCTTGTAAATGAGAAACCCCAGACTCATCTTTGACTCTATCACTTCCGCCTTCTCCAGCTGTCAAATCATATTTCTACCTTTGCTGTATTTCTCTCATCTCTCTAGTCCTTTCTGTTCTTACTATCACTATTGTTATTATTACTATCACTGTTGTTAGCCCTTTCTTAACCCCTGCTTTGTCTATAGAAATAGTCCTCTAACCAATTTTCCTAGAGCCTAATTCTCATCATGACTCCTGCTAAAATAAAACAAAAAAATTCAGTAATAGCCCTCATATCTACCCTTCTGCCATCTATGAACTAAAATCTCACCTTTTTAATCTAGCTTTTAGAATTTTTTACTGTTTGGCTCCAAACCATGTTCTTGGCTTTCTCCTATTCCTTGGTCTGTATTCTAACCAGAATCACTCGCTATTCATATTAGATATACCTTGAATTATGTCGACTGTAATTTGTAATTGTACTCCTGCCCTTTCTTCCTATCAATGCATTTTCAAATCCTACTTACATCTCAAGGCTACTTCCTCTCTAATCTCTTACCCCATTGTAAATCAGAATTAACCTCTCACTCCTCTGAACTTCCAGAGAAATGTGTGAAATTTATTACTACATTCTGTATTTTGCATCGTTTATATGCTCAGCTCCCTTGTTGAATTATAAATATTCCCTACTCTATCCCAGCACCTAGGACAGTGCCTTGCCCAGGATAAGCAAAAATGTCAATAATTGTTGACTGAATATATAGTTAACTTTTAGAAATAGTTTCATTTATGAATCAGTGATAAGTATATTTTTCTTGAGTGAAATGGGTAAGTGAATTAGTAAACAAAATAAGAAACACTATAGTGGCAATATACAAGCATACAAGTATGCTTTACAAATTTATTTATTTTTATGTTTTATTTTTTTGCTTTACAAATTTGTCTTACCATACATTTGTCTTTTTTCCTCTTGTCTATTTTTTTTCTTTATTGTACTTTCTTTGAGCATCCTCTAGTTTTCACTATGTAATTCCTTACAGTTGGTCATTTAACTCGCTGATTTTTTTTTTTTTTTAAACATGACCAGTAAGGGGATCTTAACCCTTGACTTGGTGTTGTCAGCACCACACTCTCCCAAGTGAGCCACAGGCCATCCCATGCTCACTGATATTTTTAAGCTAATATTTTTAAATTAAGGACTCCATAATATCAACTCTTTAGTGTTTGTTGACGTTTGCTTTGAAGCCTGTTTCCTAGATAGTGTTTTAAATGGTCTGTGTGTACTAGAGAAGAATGTGCATTCTTTAATTGATGGGTTCAGGGTTTTATATATTAATAGATTGAGTTTGTTATAATGTGCTGTTCAAAGCCTTTATATTCTTACTATTTCTTTTTTATTTGATTTATCAGTAACTGAAGAAGTATATCAAAATTCCCTGCTGTGATTTTTGGATCTTCAACATCTTACTATTTTTGTTAATTTTTGCTCAAACTATTTTGAAGCAATGTTATTAAGCACATATAAATTTAGAATGGTTATGTCTGCTGGTGAAATTTCCCTTTATCATCAGTATTTGTTAAAAGACTGTTCTTCCCCCATTGAATGGTCTTGGCACTGTTTCAAATATCATTTGACCACATATGTGAGTATTTATTTCAGGGCCTTCTAATTTATTCCATTGGTCTATACAGTTGTATGTCTAATTTTAGGCCAGTACCACACTGTTTTAATTACTGTAGCTTTGTAGTAGATTTCAAAATCAGGAAGTGTGAATCT